AGAGAAAGAGAGATGAAGAGAAAAAGAAAAGGGAAGAAAAAGAAGAAATAAGAGGAGATGGAAAAAGAGATGGAAAGAAAAAAGGTAGATGAAAAAAAAAGAAAAAAGAAGACAATGAAGAGATAAAAATCATGGAGAGTGAGGGGCAAAAAGAGAGAGAGTAAAAATAATAAGAAAAAAAGAACACATTGATAATTCCAGCCAGTCTGTGAGAAACTCATAACTTATTAGAATATAACATTGGAATGAAGGAGGAAAAGGAAAGTAAAGAAAACATGAAACATCAGTCAGAAGGAAGAATTGGATAGTTTTCAAGATAATCAGATAAATGGTAATAATTAGAACCAGAAGTGTTTCTCCAAGAGAAGAATGAGATTTAATCCAGATTAATTGCAAACACACAGGGGATGAATGGATAACAGCTCTGATTGAGGAATCACAGAGCCAAGTTTGAAGATTAAGATTGTTACATTCACTTACGTGCAAATACCCTTGGGAAAGGTATGAATCCATTTCTTCTCTCCTTTGTAGCTCTTAATAAATTTTGTCTTTTTGTTATCTCTCCTAAACCCTGCTTAACCATCCATTTACACAATCTCACTAGGTAGATTACACATTGATTTCCTGTCCCTCTTGCCTTAAATCTGTCCTGTGAGTATCAAATTTTCCAAGCCTTTTTCCTCATTATGTGCCCTAGAAATTTTGACTATCTGATGTTAAGCATAAGTGTTCTTTTTTGTTTCCAATTTCTCTAAAACTTTGTCGTTGCTCACATGTTTAGTTTATGATATTTTTGGCATCACTGAGAAAATAAAACTATTATCTACAAAAAGCATTCATTAAAAATTTGTCCGAGCCCATTTCTCATGAATAGAGAGAGAGACAAAATTTGGTACATTGATTATTCCATCTCTGAAAAGCTTCCACCCAGAGCTGCACATTTCTCACATTGTTTGATGCCCTAATGATGGAGACTTTTCTTGTAGAACTCTGCAGGTTGGACTGCATCTCATTAATTAATGTATCATTAACCTGGAAGTGTCTGCCTTTCAAATACAACTGCATTGAGGTGATGAGATGGAAATCACATTCAGAATTGAGATTGGGAAAGAATGGATGGGGAAGAATTTTGTAATCATAGCAACACGCTTCCATTTGTACAACATGTGAGTTGTTTACTCATGCATAGATTTGCAATATTCAGACATCTTTTCTGAGCCTATCAGTTATAAGCACCAGTTATTGTGGCACCTTTGTCCTGAAAATCCATAAGTACCATATCCTTTTGGTCTCTGAAGATTGTGATGAGCATCACCTTGCCAACAGAGGGTTTGGCACATGCATCTGGGTGGTGTGATTTTATTGTTTAGACTGTGATTTAGTCTTTGGGTCAAAGTGTTGAACCCACATTTCATCTGTTGTAATTAGTCCAACATAAAAAGTTCTCTTGACACATGGCCAAAAGGTCACAATTGATTCTGTCTCTCATCTGGAAACGGTTGAACAAAGAAGTACCTTCAACGCTGGCACTTTCTACACATGTAGGTATTTGAGAATAATTTATTTCTACAGAATCCACACTAATCTTGACTGTGTCTTCTAGTTCCTGAATTGCTATGCTACAATCTCATAAGATGGTTGTCTACTCCTTTTTATTTTCTAATCAATTCCTCCCAAGCAAAGCAATAATGCCACTAAGATTTAAGGGGCTACTGAAAGTGAAAGAGAAGGAAAACTTTAGAAGGAACTGGGAACCCAATCCTAAACAAGAAACAAGGGATAAACCTCTACTCCTGTTCAAAAGACTGAAGAGGAGTGTGAACCAGATAATAGATGAACCGACTTTGTTGGATGATATCGCCATCAGTGGCAATCAGGAATAAGTCTAACCATAATTTCAAATGATAACACTACTTAATAAGTGACCTCCACTTACCTTCAAAGTAAATTTAGAATTAAAATAACTTTTTTTTTTTCAGCTTAATGAAGGAACTTAAGGGAATCTTAAAAAATCTAGATTTCTATCTGTTTTCTTTATAAAATATTGTGCAACAATGAAAAACATTTTCAGACAAAAATTCTGAAATGTTCAATATTAAACTTAAGTAGTTCTAAATATGCAAAATGACTCCAAACTACAGAAACTACCAGTGGTTCTTTGATCAAGGCATTCTTACTCCAAAGAAGGATATAGTGTGAGAAATAAACTCAAAGCCGTCACAATAGATTCCTAGAAAGGTTCAGCTATACAGGCCAAGTGACACAATTCTAGGCACTTAAGATTTTGTTCAGAACTTAACTCTCTGGAGCTGCATGATGTTCTTCCCCACATGCTTTAAGTAAAAGTTGGGATACCCATCATGCTTTTCAAAAATTTTAACCCTCTAAATTATCATGGCAATGATCCAAAATATTGTAGGCAAAAAGAAAGATGTGTTCATTTTCAAGATCCATGTAATTCTAACAAATTTGACTTGAATTCAAGTGTCTTCAATGCTCAGAAAAGCTCAGCTTTGCTATGACCATCAACAAGGCACAAAGACAATCCTCAAGATCACAGACATTAACCTGACTTTTCCATGCTATTCTCATGACCAGCTCTTTTTTTGGTTTTTCTAAATTTGGATCCCTTTTTTGCATTGCCACTCAGTGGGAAAAGTACTAATATTGTGCATCCAGAAGTCCTACCAATCTAAAGGATTTCTTTTATGTGCCATGTTCCTTCAGGATATGGGCAATCATAGCTCTTCCCAATTTCCTATCCTTTGTAGTGATTAGTAAGTTTTGTCTTTTCATTATCTCTCCCAGTCCCTGTTTTGCCATCCATTTATAAAAATCATTTATTTTATAAACAGAATATTTTTGGTAACAGTTACATTTTCATGTGTAAAATTAAAAAACTTGCTCTTTTGTTTTGTTTTGTTTTGTTTTTTTTCATTGGATTGCAAAATTATGTATTGTAGTGTTGGATACTCTAGCACAATGGAACCCTAGAATTCTACAAGAGGTTGCCAGGGGTTCCACAAGAAACTGATAAACAGGCTAATATATATTTGAGTAATTTTTGTTTAATTTTATATTCATAATTTTACACTATGTACATTGTTTGAACTGTTTTCTTCATCTTTATTTTCATATTCACAACGTTTCAGCTGTTGTTCGCTCTAGCCTTCTTCATGTGATATATATTGGAATTTTGAACTTTTATTTCATTCACTAGGGTAGATTGTTTTCATTCCGCATGCCATGCTTTTTGGGATATCTTAATTTCAGTTATTTTCCTTTAGTAACTCAACTCTCAAGTTTTTGTTCACTTTTGCTGTAGCCAGGTATTGAACTCTCAACTCTTTGAGTCAAGTCACTGGATTACTTCAGCCAACGCTTTTATCCACTGTGCTATGTATCCAACATATATCACCTGAAGAAAGCCGGAGCATACAATGCTGAAACGTTGTGAATATGACAATAAAGATGAGGACAACAGTCCAAACAATGTAAATAATGTAAATAGTTACAATACCTCATCTCAGAAATAGAGACAGATGTTGAAGGTGAATATGGCAATAAAGATGAGGACAACAGTCCGAACAATGTAAATAGTGTAAATAGTTACAATACCTCATCTCAGAAATAGAGACAGATGTTGATGGTGAATATGGCAATAAAGATGAGGACAACAATCCGAACAATGTAAATAGTGTAAATAGTTACAATACAACCTCATCTCAGAAGTAAAGACAGATGTTGAAGGTGAATATGGCAATAAAGATGAGGACAACAGTCCGAACAATGTAAATAGTTACAACACCTCATCTCAGAAAAGAGACAGATGTTGATGGTGAATATGACAATAAAGATGAGGACAACAGACTGAACGATGTAAACAGTTACAATACCTCATCTCAAAGAGGCAGTTGTTGAAGGTGAATATGGCAATAAAGATGAGGACAACAGTCGAACAATGTAAAAATAAATAGTTACAATACCTCATCTCTAGAGACAGATGTTGAAGGTGAATATGAAATAAAGATGAGGACAACATGAACAATGAAAATAGTGTAAATAGTTACAATACCTCATCTCAGAAATAGAGACAGATGTTGAAGGTGAATATGGCAATAAAGATGAGGACAACAGTCCGAACAATGTAAATAGTGTAAATAGTTACAATACCTCATCTCAGAAATAGAGACAGATGTTGAAGGTGAATATGGCAATAAAGATGAGGACAACAGTCCGAACAATGTAAATAGTGTAAATAGTTACAATACCTCATCTCAGAAATAGAGACAGATGTTGAACGTGAATATGGCAATAAAGATGAGGACAACAGTCCGAACAATGTAAATAGTGTAAATAGTTACAATACCTCATCTCAGAAATATAGACAAATGTTGTAATTTTGCTATACACAAACAGCATATTGTTGAAAAATCCTTGCTTATTATAATAAAGGCTTCAACCTAATAGATTATTTAAAATTATAACTATAGGCAATGTAATTAACAATGTCTATATGGCATCAGTGTAAAACCACCTTCATTGGTCAGTGGACATGACCTTGATGTGGCGGATTTGAGTATTTCAATATTATTAAGTGACACAGTTGAGTACAGGGTACATGCATATTGTCTATATATTTACCATATGAACTATGATAAAAACATAAAAGAGATAGGTATTAATAATGGCATATAATAATTTTTATGCATTGGTTCCCTGAAACATGAGAACTATTTCAAGGAGAAAAGTTGGTTGATTGTTTTTGTTTAGCAGCATATCAACACCTCTATGGGTTATTTAATGTTGAGATCTAAATATTTTGCATGCAATCTTTTAACTTTTTATTTATGTATGTATAGATAACAAGGATTTTAGTGATACAAGTATTATTAATTATCCCATAGCTGGGGGAGAATAGGTGGATATAATGAACCTAACTGGAACTCAACTCTTTGAGTAACAATTCCATTATCCATTACACCACACGCACATCATAGCTTACAGCACCTGGTATTCTCAAGCAGTCACCCATCTAGGTACAGACAAGGCTTGATATTGCTTAACTTCAGAGATAGTATGGGAACTGGTTCTTCAATATGAAGCCAAGAGTAAAAAAAGTTTCAGTAACACTGCTTTTGTAAGTAGTCACAGAAACTGAATATGAGCAACTATCACGTTCTTATCTAGGGGAGACTATTTTGTAGTCTCCACTTTTCACATATTTAAATTAGACTACCACTGCATAAACTGTTGTAAAGTAGTATATGATTGTGGTCGATACTCAAGTAATTAGTTACATAAACTGAATATAAACAAAGGACTTTTTCAGAATTAAAATTATTGTTTAGGAGGTCCCAACTTTTTAAAAACTTGAATAAATAGATCTGTCTATATTTCTGAGATGAGGTATCATGTACACTATTTACATTATTCAGACTATTGTCCTCATCTTTTGTTGACATATTTATCACAATACTTCGGCCATTGTACGCTCTGGTTTTCTTCAGGTGGTTGGAATGTCGAACTGAACCTTTTATTTCGCTCACTGGGGTAGACTGTTCTAGTTCCACATGCCATGCCTAATGGATGTCAGTTATCACCTGTAATTCGCCTCTCCAAGTTCTCCACTGCCTTAACCAGGTAGTGAACTCACAACTCTTTGGGTCCTATCACTGGATCTAACCAATGCCTTTATCCACTTTGCCATGTATCCACTGTTGAATAAATAGATATATATCAAAAAAATGTTTTTTTTATTGATTCACTCCAAGCAAGGCAATAAAGCCACTAAGGGTTAATGAGCTTGAGAGGATATAAGGAAAAGAAGACATTATTAAGGAGAGAACAACAAAAGAACACGAACTAAGAAGGCAGAAGATAACAATTGACATTGTATTTAAATTTTTAAAGATCAAAGTTGACTGGGAATGAAGGAGCCTGAAGAGAGTTCCACAAGTGAGGTGCATGAGAGAAGAAACTCTTAGCATAGAACTTACAAATTTGTTGTCAGTATTCTGTGAATTATTTGTAAAATATCTTAATCTTCATTTTGATTCCTACATTTTGACATGCATTCTCTGGCCTTCCTTTCATATTTGTAATTCTTTTTAAATGTTATCTTTCAACGTAAGTCCAGTTTGAGCAAGATACAACTCAAAGTGACTGAAATTCATCTTCTTTACAGCTTTTATACCAGAGAATGCATTAGTTAAAGCATACTGATAAAAGCAACAAAGATGAAGATATACACCGAATAATTTATGAAATGTAGGAACAAAGAAATGAGTGTATCTTAGAGAAATCAGAAAAGGAACAAAGTGGAATCAATTGGTTTTAAAATCGGAACATACAAGCTACTATATTGTAGGAAGATTTATCATGAGATTTATTTATGGATTATAAGTCTACTATTCGTCCATGGATTTTATTAAATTTACAATATAAGATTAGAATATTACTACCACATATGATCTAGTGCCCCTGCTATTTACCTTGAGCTCCTTGATAAAATTTAAAGAAGAATCAGCAATATTATTGGTCCTGATCTGGTGGCTCAGCTTCAATCACTTTCCCAACACCATAAGCTTGCCTCTCTGTGCATTTTCTATAAATACTTTCATGATAGTTGTTCAGAAGACCTCTTTGCTATGGTACCTAGACTTTTTGAATTCAAGTGCCGTACTAGACTGGCACCAAAATCTCATCAATTTACAGTTGAGCTGGATAGATGAAACCATGAATTCTATGCTAGCAATTTCTTTTCTCACACTTCTCCCTTGTGGAACCCACTTCCAGCTCTACGCTTTCCAACCAACTTCAATCTTCAAAAATTAAATGCAATGTCAATCACTATCTACTATCCTCTTGATTACGCTTTCCTTTTCCCACTCATTATTAATGTTTCTGTTCCTAATTCTTCCACATCCTGTAACCCCTTGTGTCTTAGTGGCTTTACTGCCTTGCATGGGTTAATACTGATAAAAAAAAATATTATAAAACATTTCCCCAAGCCAAGTCTATATGATAAAAATTTGTTTTTATTTACAATAACTGTACATAAAATAAAAGTCACTTTGTTGTTTGGTTACAGCTTAATTATTTGATATCTAATTGTCATCAAATAATTAATGTGCTACCATGAGCAAAAAAAGAAATGAACAGACAAGAAACAATTCTATTGTGTGAATAAAGAGTGTTTCTTTATTCTGATGAACTGCAATCTATGTATTTAGTTTGTAATGTTTGTTGTCATTGCTGATCAATGTTTAGCAGACAGAAATATAAATCTCAAACGTAATGCAATCTTTTATACTGAAAGCATTTTCATTCATCTGGACATTCTCATAATTGATCCTACCTGATTTCTAGTCATTGACTCACCATATTCGGTCACCATAATAATCTCTGCTCCCATTTAATCCTGAAGCCAGGACAACACAGCTGACTGAGTTTCTGCATTTATAATAAAATTGTGATTAGCCTTGTTTCCCAGTACTGCCATTACAAATTATCATCCAAGATCATCACTAATCTTTTGTGGCTAATTTTATCTTTGTTTATCCATTTTTAACATTGCAAAAACTATAATACAAAATAATAGATCAGTACTAAAAAAAGCTAAAAATATTTGGAAACGTATATATTCTCTTAATAATACAGAAGTAAATACTACTCTTTATTTTTAGAGTCTATGAAAAATATTTTTGTTTTTTGTTCATGGGGGACCTGATCAGAGATCTGATATATTTTTTAAGTTTATACATATGTCATCTTTCGATAATAAAAGATTTTAGAAGACAGATTGAGAGTTCTCCTCAATTTTGCATTTAACTACATCATAATGAATAACTGATGGTTGTCCACCTTTGGAATTTTCACCCTTAAAATGTTTAAACTAATTTTGGATAGGCCAGTCAGATATTCTTTCATTTCCTTAAATATCCCAAATTCTGTGGTCAGCTTCAGTGACTTTGATGTCTAGTTCAAAATAACATCTCAAAATTGCCCAAATCTCAATATATATATCTTGAAATGAAAAACATAGATTTTCCTTAAGGTAAGGTCTTATTTGAGGGGGCACTTATTTAAAAAACATTCTTCTTGATGGGAGGAATTATTCAAAAAGTTTTTATGATGGGAAGCATTTACTCAAGGAAATATGGTACAGTTTTGTTTGTTTGAAAGACATTTCAATTAACTTTTAACTACTTAAGTCCAAATAAAAAGTACTTAATTTGATACATGAGAAGACATTGATAACATTAATCTTATGTCAAACTTTTGCTATCTTAAGCCACACTAACAAGGAATTGATGCTTAAGATAACAGATTGATTTATTTTTTATGGCTTATCATCTCTTAGTGTGTTATTTAATCCTGAAACCTATTTTTGGAATTGTAAGAGTTTTCAACCTCTGTCTATATGTCTGAGATGAGGTATTGTAAAGGTTTACACAATTTACATTGTTTGGACAGTTTTCCCCGTGGCCCAGTGGATAAAAGCGTTGATCCAAAAAGTTGTGAGTTCAATACCTTGCCACAGCAGAAAGAACAAAAACTTGGAGAGTTGCGACATCAAGGGAAATTAACTAAAACTGTGATAGTCAAAAGGCGTGGCACATGAAATTAGAACAGTCTACCCCTGTGGACTAAATAAAGGGTTTGTCTCAAAATTTCAACATATACCTCCTGAAGAAGGCCAGAGCATACAATGGCCAAAACTTTGTGAGTATGGCAATAAAGATGAGGACAACAATCTGAACAGTGTAAATAGCAAGATTTGTGTGTGTGTGTGTGTGTGTGTGTGTGTGTGTGGGAGAGTAAATATTGCATCAACAATTTTTGGGGATAACAATGGTTTTTCCAGATACAAGTTCTACTAGTTAACTTATAGCCGGGGAAAAAAGATGGATTCTTACCTTTCTGCCATTTTCTGCATTAACAAACTAAAAATATTAATCTAACAATGTTGATCAGGAATTGGATGATTAAGCACCAAATTTTGATAGTTTTATTTATTTGTTTTAGAAAAGTTTTAGTATTTTGTATGTTGTGTTCTGAAAATGAGGAAGGAAGGGATTGTTAGTGGTCAGGAAATAAAAATATTCCTGAAAGAATATGGATATCACACAAATTAGTCATTGTTGATATTTCTAATTACAAGTATTCAAAGTTGAATGTTACATGGTGTATTTATCATGTAAATACATCTTGAAAATGTTTACCAACATTGGTTGGTCAACACATTAACTGCCACCCGGGAGATAATTCATAGTTGGTGTCATAATAAAAACTACCAATCATGAGTTATCTCATACTTAGCAATTTCTGATACATTTTCTGCGGGCACCAGCAACAAGTTTATTTGCAGTGATACTTTTAGTGTGAAAACAATATTAAAACGTCAGTTGATGCTATAAATCAACTCATAAAAATATTTTATTGCCTAAGTTGGTTATTATAAAGTTGATGTTTGAAGTCAGATTTCATAATTGGCAATCGATATGTTAATACCAATTTTATTGTAAAAACATTGACTTTTTATAATAAAATCTGACATGGTGGACATGTATGATAAGCATCTGCTATAAAAATCAAGGGAAAAAAAAGATTATCAATAGTTGGCAAGCATTTTAAACAAAATCTTATTTTTTAAAGACACCAAAAAACATGCCACTATGGGACAGTAACATTGTGGATATAGGCGTTGGGTAAACGTGTTACTGTTATCTAGTGGTTGTATGTTCAATCCCTTGATCAGGTAGTGAAACAATATAATGCAATAATAAACTGATATCTGATATCAGCCAAACAATTGGGACCTGAAGATGGCTACAGGGTACTTGATCGAAACATTGTCTGTTAAAACTTCTATAATAATCAACATAAAAATAATGAGTTGAATAAATTATAGTGGAAACTTATCTCTTTTTAATAAGTTATATATATATGTGTGTTATGTGTAAATGTTCAAAGAGAATAAATAAGAAAAAAAAAACCTTCCTCTTGAAGTAAAAGCAGTAAGCAAATATTTCATTGTAAGAAATGGAAGTGTAATCCAGCTTCTACAATTAAGGAAGAGAATGGTGTTCCAAT